CACCGGTTCAGCCTGCAGTGTCTTCTGCCCATTTTTCTTCACCCACCTGCAGCCGTTCTGCTCCCCATCCTTCAACTGTGCCTCCAATCGCCTGCATCCTTCCAGGAAAAGTTTGGCTTCCCAGGATGTTCTCCCCACTCAGCTTAGCTGAAATTTTTTTTGGATACTAAACCCACAAGTGCTGACTAACTGCTGCTGGTTCTCAAAGGCTTCTAACACAGCCAGCCCAAAGGGCTCATCCCAATCCAAAGTCACCTTTCTGCACTAATGCAGTTGGAATTTTCCYTGGCCCTGTTATCAGGAATGACTAATACAGTGCATATTGTCCTCCTTGTCACAGAGACCTCTGACTTGGAAAATTTCAGTTTAGAAGTCGATAAAAGCAAGGGAAAACAGCATTTGTWTCAGCATTAGGGATCTTAATCCTAAATTGTCCTAACGTGACATCAACTGTAACTTTRGAAATTCAAGATGTTGTAGTTTACACGCCATCAAATGACTCCATACTGTGAATAAACCCTGTTCTAACATGTATTTTGCTGTCCTACACGTTATGCTCAGTTTTGCTYATACTGTACAGAAAAATTCAGTCAGACCAAGCGTAGCACATACACACCTTTCCCTATGGAACCACCTCTGCTCTGTGCAATGCTGCAGGATTTATAAAAATGCTGTTRAGCACACATTGACTGCTCCAGGCACTTGAAAGAAGGAAAAAAACTGAATACTTCACCTGAGCACAGATACACCACACATCTCCAGGGCACAGTGAGACAAGGTTATATGTTGTTAAAAATAAAAGAAAAATACTCCGTGGGCAATCTGAGTTTTAGACATGATCAGTGGCCACAGGATGAGGAAAGTGAAGAAAAGCCAGCACTCTGCACCTGTGATTACCAGTTTGGTGCAGATCAAGAGGGGTCTCCAGGCTTGGTAACTTTTAGCAAGCAGAACCTGAATTCCTGCAGACTTCAGCCTCCAGGGAAGCAGCGGTGTGGGTTTTCTGATGTCTAATAGAAGGGAGAGCTCAYGCCAAAGCTGCTCTCCATGAAGCAAAACCACGGTTTTTCTCAGAAACCTGTTCTCATGGAAAACTTGTTTCCAATAGCTAAATAGTGCTGTTGCCAACGAATCCTAGGTATTCTGATGACAGTGTACACAACTAACAAATCACAAGGAACAGAGCTGCTAGATCTGGAACCACTTTGAACTTCCAAGGGTCAAAAATTAACAAGGAATGCGGAAGAACTGTTTTCCTATTAACCAGCCATAAACAAAGTAAAAACCTGCTCTGCTAAGAATCTCTGGACTGACAGGCACTTGAGGGGAAGTGTTGCAACAGGTGTGTGTTACTTCCCTCCTCTCCTCATACTGAGCCAGCCTCTCTGAGCAATGGAAACTGTTTGCACAACAACACAACATCAGGATGACTGCAGTGCCCTGGAAAGTTTTTGGCTGCCATCAGGCGCCACACAGCCCTGCTCTGCCTTTACTGGGTTGCCAAGGAGTCGTCCGGGTCCCTGGTGCCTGAAGGGTTTTCAGTTTGGGGCTTCTGGGTCGGTGCAGGCTGGTGCCCCGGCCGTGGCTGTACTGGTCAAGTTGGTGTTCACAGCAAAACACTGGTCTGGTTGGGGAAACAGGAGATGTTGGAAACATAGAATCCCAGAATGGGTCAGATTGGAAAGGACCACAATTGTGTCATCTGATCCAACCTCCCCGYTCAATCATGGTCATCCCAGAGCACAAGGCAAAGGAATGTCCCCACATGGCTTTGGAATGCCCCCAGTGAGGGATTGTCCAGCAGGGTGTGGAGTATCTGCTCCTGTGCTCTGTCACCTGCACAGGAAAGAAGTTCATCCTCACATCCAGGTACAACTTCCTGGGCATCAATTTCCACCCACTGTCTCTTGTCCTATTGCTTTCCACCACCAGGCAGAGAGCCCAGCTCCATCCTCTTGGCAAGTTGCAATATTTGTCACAGATAAACACAGATTTTTTTTTTTTTAACCCCTTTAGATATTTACGCACACATTTCACCCCGCCGTGTCCGAAGGGGAATTCCCTCGCTCAGCAGAGCCCTCAGAGCTCTCCGACTCGCCGAGCCCCCKTCCTGCCGTGTCCCACCCACCCGAGCCGTGCCTCCGCCGGGGCGGGCGCGGTACCTGCGGAGCCGGGGCGGGATGGCGGGAGCCGTGAGGAGCGGGATGCCGGACCAGGGGGATGCCGGCGGCAGCGGGATGGCCGGCGGCGCTCACCTGGGCGGAAGCGGGAAGCGAGGGGCGATCCCGGCTCACCTGCGGCGCAGGAAGCCGGGGCGGCGCGGCGGGAGAGCCGCCTCCCGAGGGACGGCCGGAGCTCGGCCCCTCCCGGCCCCGCCGCGCCCTCAGCGCTGTGAGGGCACCGCTCTGGCCGGCGCCGTGAGGGGACKGCTGCAACGGAACAGCTCAAATTCACTTTTTCATCCTGGCCCGCCAGCMTGTTTATAGATCATAGTTTGAATCTGTCGTACGGCCTTTGGCCTCCCCAAAGCGAAGGGAAAACGCGTGTGCAAATATTATGGAAAAGCTTGTTCTTCACTTATTTGCAGCACATCGGTGTCCAGACTCGTGATACTTTGTGATTCTGTGTTTTGAACTCCCCACAGAGGGCTCTGCTGGAGGAGTTAACTCCCCTTAACGCAGGGGTGTAAATCCTCGGGTGAAATCTGAATAATAATACAGGTGTAATTAATAATACACTCTGCTCAGCTTCAGCAGCGCAGCCCCCACCACTTCACAGAAGGAAATGGCAAAAATAAAGGAAAACTCGGATAGAATAAAAGGATTTCAAGACTTCCACCACAACACCCCAAAACACACCACGGCACTGCAGTTTCCAAGACACAGCACGTTGCCTGGGATTGCAAAAAAAGCAAAATTTTCCTCCTGCTAATCATGAAATACTGAACCGGCACCATTTTAGTTGAAATTAACAACCGTGTGTGYTTTCTGAAACCTGTACATAAGTCAGCCGATTTTTGAAAATTACATTTGTACCCACATGAAATAGTTTATTTAAAGTCAATAAATACAATTTTTATTCTGCTGCACAGTTTCACGAGCCCATCTGCTGACCTTACGCAGCCCCATTGGTTGCACAGGGTGAGGGTTATGAAAGGTTTGGAAACCAATTCCTCACGAGTTCAGATCGATTTCCCCCCGTTCGTTTCACTGAGCAGCAGCAGTTGCACCAGAGCACAAGACACGCTAGGAACACACCATTCCATCCCCCTTTTCAAAGCATTCCGACTCCGAGAGCTCTAACTTCCCAGTCCGTACTCTCAGTTTTAATTAATGTGGCGCTCGTGAGAAGTGACAATTTTCTTGACAGTGATGAACAGCGAGTGGTGTATTTATCCATCTGAGGGACGCGCCGCAGACAGAAGAGCCGGGCACTTTTCCCATCACTGCACCTCTGTCTCCATCTCCGAGGGCTGAGTTCATCCCAGAGCACGCTCCRGCCCTGCCCTTTCGCTTCCAGTTGCTGAAATGAGTATCTATTTTCATTTGCATACTTTGCCTGCTGAACTCCAGGCTGCCAATTCAGTTTACACCAATCTCTCAAAAAAAAGCTGTTAGATGGCAATATTTCACATCGCTGAGCTCTTTGTCAGCCATCCGCAYGTTTTAAATCGGCGTTTCCGCGGATTCATGGAATATTTGGGACTGGGACAAACCTTTCTTTGGGACTGTCAGGCTCCAGACAAATCACCACGCACCAAAATAATGCCCAGGAAACCCAAAAGACTTGCAGAAGGGATGGGTAACGATGATGTTCTCTATTTCAGAGTTGCTTTTCCAGCTTTTTAGGAGCAGTTTTCCAGTTTTTAGGTCCCTGCTTGTTTTTCAGGAAACACTTCTTGAAGAGATGTAAACTTAGGAYAGCAATGCTGCCTTTCCTGGGTGTGCTCACTCCAAACAACCTCTCCATCTCCTGTGAACACTCCAGGATACCTAGCAGTTCGTAAGTGGAAAACTGATGCCTGCAAACACTAGAAAAACCTGAAATAACCACAATAAAAAAAACAATAAATAGCTGTCAAAATAGTGAGAATATGAAAAGGTTTCTAATCACCATGAAATACCTTGCAAAGAACAAACACTGATGAAAAGCTTGCCTGCTCYAGAAGTATTCATTTAAAATCGAAATAAAAAGCACTTTAAACAATTTAGTCGCAGTTTTATGTGAAAATAGAATAAGAATCTTAAATTATTCCTTTAATGCGACTGCTGTGGGTGTGCTGGACACAATGTGAGCACRCCAGGCCCACGTGGATGATAGGGGATGTGCCAGTCTGGGTTAACCAAGTATCAACCCTTTTAACCTCTCCTGGACTTTTCCAACTTATTTTCAAGTGCTTAGCAAACTTCAGACACCACCGGTGCGATTTCATCGCGTGRGCCAAGGCTACAGGGTCGGTGTTTGGAAGGGCGGCCAGGATTCGCTTCACGTTCCTGCCTCACCCGGCCGCACCGCTCGGTTCAGGGCGCGTCCTGCCCGCGGTGCCAGCACCGGAGCAGTCCTGACCTCGCTCCGAGAGCCTCCTCAGGGCTCCTCAGGGCTGCCCACGGCTCCCCCGCCATCCCCGCACCGCCCCGGGGCCGCRGCCCCTCACACCCTTCATCTTCGGTGAGGGCAATCCCACCGGGTGCCGGCGGCAGGCGCCGCCATCTTTACTCGGGGCACGACCCCGCCCGTTCCACCGCCGGGCCCTGCGGGCGCCATCTTGAGTGCGGGCACGCTCTGCCCTCAGCGCGGCCTCGGCAGCCATATTTAATGAGGTTCACCCGCCCCAAAAAATAACCCCTTAAGCCCCTCCAAAAACCGTAACCCACCGCTTCAGCGCCCTACGAACATCGCGGTGTTTCCCTCCGTTTCTCTCCGCAGCCAGCGCGGGCTTCCCCCGCGGCAGGGCCGCTCCGCTCCTCCCCGGGTCAGCTGACAGCGGCGGCGGTCCCGTCATGGCCGCCCGGAGCGGCGCGGCTGAGGCGCTGGTGCTGCTTGTCCTCTGGTTCGCAGCCCTGGAGGGAGCAGCGAGCTCGGAGCCGCCGCTCAAGTGCGAGGAGCTGCGGCTGGGGCAATATCCTGAGCGGGGCCGGGCSGGGGTCGGATCGGGGGCGGTTGTTGTGGCGATGGGCCCGGTGTGAGGGCTTCGGGGCAGCGCTCGTGGGGAGGGGAAGGGGCGGTGTGGCCGTGAGGTGTCGGTCAGGCCGGGGGATCAGGGAAAACCTCAGACTGGGAGCCCCGAGAAGGTCTCGGCTGGCAGGAGCAGGACAGAGCTCCTCAAGGTGCRGGAATTGAGGAYRCGGCCTCAAGSTGCACCTGGAGAGSGTCAGGATGGACATCAGGAGGAATTTCTTCACAAAAAGGGTGATKAGACATTGGAAGGGKCTGCCCAGGGATGTGGCGCAGTCCCCATCCCTGGAGGTGTCCAGGGAATGACTGGATGTGGCACTCGGTGCTCTGGTCTKGGTGACAAGGTGGGCATCGGGCACAGCTTGGACTCGATGGCCTCAGAGGACTTTTCCAACCTAATTAGTTCTGTGATTTCTGATGGTGCTGTGTGTGCCCCARTGCATGCTTGRGGTGTCTTTCAAAGAGAAATTCCCRTGGGATGAGAGAGCCCGCTCCACCACTCTTCTACCTTTAGATTTTTTTGCAGGACTCTGGAGCAAGACATGGAGACTTTGCCATTTTATTAAGATGTAGTTCTTCTCTCAGAGACTGGGGGGCTGCCCAGGCTCCCCAGGGAATGGGCACGGCCCTGAGRCTGCCAGAGCTCCAGGAGCGTTTGGACATTKCTCTCAGGGATGCACAGGGTGGGATTGTTGGGRTGTCTGTGCAGGAGCAGCAGTCGGATCAATGATCTTTGGGGATCCTTCCAGCTCAGGATATTCTGTGTTTCTGTGCCCTGCACAGCTCYGAGGAGCAGGAGGTGTGAGGCTCCTGGCTCTCCAAGGTACCTCTTGCCCTCCCCAGAACATGTTGGTTGATGGCAGCTGACAGTTTTGGATGATCAAAAGTGTCAGGAAAGCAAATCTTGGAAAAGCTCGTTTCATCTCCTGCTTTACTTGGCTGTAGGAGTTGAGACCTCTGGAAGTCAGATCCTGCTCAGTTCGTTCCTGCACCAAATTCCTGGCGTTTCAGATGCTCATTTTTACGTGTTCGTGGAATTTTATATTTTGCTGTAGATTAAATTTTCTCAACCAAATGCCTCAATTTCAAGGCACTGTGGTATTTAAATAAGGGAAGAAGACTAGATGAGGCGTGTGCTACCTTGTTGCCTTCAAATACAGAGGCTGTGACTGATAAATACTGTAGTTCCTTTAGGTAGTGCTGACTGCAGCACTAATTAAACGTGGGGCTTATGCGATATATTGGTGTATTAAATTGGATTAGCAGATTTGCTGCATGGTAATGTGCTGCTCCTCTTTTGGGGGATGGGTAGGAACCAACATCAAGGTGCATCTTAACTCCTCRGGGTTTAAAGAGGGTGGAATAAATTACTGTTAAACCTGTTGTAGTGTTTGATATGAAAACTGTTTTCCTCAATTACCTGAACATATATGTGTGATGAGCCTAAAATAGACAATAGCACACAAGAACCAATGAATTGCACAAATCACACAGCATATGGTAAGGATTTCTGACTTATATATTGATTAACTATGTTTTTTTTCAAGGAATTGTTCAATTGACGGATTTGTGTATCTGCTAGATGAGCTTGATAAAAGATGGAATTAGTAATATCATTAGTCTGAAAGKCCAAAACACTCGTGTGGATTGGGTGCTTTACTGAAAATGAGTAAACACACTGTTTGTGATTKGTTCTTTTTAAAGTGAAGTTTCTGGTAAATCTCTTCAGTGTRTGTTGCACCCTTTAGGCTCTGTCCTGCAGTACTGTGATTAAAACAAACTATTCCTGTCACACTGATTTTGCATGTAATTATTAAAAGAATTGACATCTGACAGAACAGCCTTCAAAATATTCTAATTTTAAAGGTTTTTTTTTTCTTAAGGCAACACAGTGCCTTCCATCATCACCAGGTTCTGGTGCATGAGGCTCTGTTTTGAAAGCACATTTATTTGATGTTCAGTTCTGACGTACTTTGGAGCACAATAGAAAAATTCTTAAATTGTGCTTAACTTCTTTGATGTTCTCAGGCATTGAAATAAATCATCTGTGATACT